CCAGAGGTCTGTTCTGCTTTCCTGGGGTGTTACGCATTTCGGGGGAAGGGTCCATAGGTCCTCATATGGCTTGTTAACTGAGGGGTGTTACAGAGTATTTGTTAAATATAGCTAACAAAATATATATTGTGTGTTTGATTGGTCCAGACGCTACAGTGTGTAAACTAACAGTATTGTCATATCTTGTGAATTGCTTGTTTGTTTGGGGCACCAGCCAGCTACTAGCATCCAAACACACTGGATTGGTTTCTGTTTGACTGCAATTTTATTCAGCCTCTGAACTCTTTTTTTTGACAGATTCTGCTGATAGGACTGAAGCCTTCACTCAAAGTATGGATGACTTTTCCCTACGGCAAGGTACAGTACACACTTTCATTCTCAGTGTTCTTGTGTGTGTATCTGTTTGCTTTTCCAACAGACATCAACACGGCATCTAACAGATAAACTTACAACCTCTGTATTCAAGATTTATCTTAGCTTTTGTTTTCACAGCACGTACATGATTGACATCATCTCTAGTGTTTTCCTCTCTTCAACTGTAAATATAATGTACAAGTTCATACATTTATATACCTTACATTACTCACTCAGCCCTGATCTCAGTGTCACCATGCATAAAGGGATTTGCCCGAAACTCAAAATTCTGTCATCATTTACTCACTGTCATGTCGATCCAAACCCATTAGACTTTCGTTTATCCTCAGAATCACAACTGTACTTCCAGTGCATCGAGTGATCATCATGCTTTTTAACTGTATTAAAAAGAAAAGTTTTGTCGCATTTAGTTATTAACAGTTATTTGCTGACATGAGAGTGGGTTTTTAAGTTAAAGTTGGCATGAATTCATCATTTTATCTTATTTATTCCCTTAATGGTATTATTGTGAATAATTGACCATTGCACATATATTTGCATTTTACGTGGAAATACATCACAATATGGAAGTCAGTCCTAACTTTTGTTTTCATGCTGACTTTAGAGCAGAATATCTGTAAATAATTATTCACAATTATTGTAAAAAAAATCATACATTGCTTTCATCGGAAGTTACATTTAAAATCCACACAACTCACACATAGAGCTTTATAGTGAGATGCCATTAAACTTTTTTGTTCAAAATAAAGCAAACCACCTACTAAGATTTTTGTAAACCTCTATAAAAAAAAGTTCTGAAGTGACTGTTGAACTGGATTCATTCTCTGGTCTATTGTCTCCTTTATGCCTGTGGGGAGGTTGTTCTCTTCAACAGTGTTGGGCAAGTTACTCTGAAAATGTAATCAAATTACTGATTACTCCTTTAATCTAAATAGAAACTCTGCATACGCATGCACCTGTTAATCATTTATATTTTATATTAGTTCATGTTGCTTTTGTGCAATAGATGAATAACAATTTATTTGTTTTAGATATTTTATGTTTAGATATTTCTATTTTGCGGGAGCCCCGTGAATCATTTTATTCTCCCGCATCCCGCACACACACGAGTCTCTACCTGCCCGCAGCAGCACTCGCCCATCTTGTCCCACGCCGCGCACCGCGCTCTGTTGCATCGGGTCTCGCGGAAGAGCAGGTCTCTAATCCATTGGCACTTGACTCGACAGTGCGTGTACTACATCGTTTTACAATCTCTAGATTATAAAACACTGCATTCTGTCAGCAATGTAATGTGGCAGTAACGTATAGAGACCTCGGCTTGTAACTATACTCGAATTACTATTTTGAAAATTATAACGCGTTAAATTACTCCGTTACTAAAAAAGTAATCAAATTACAGTAACGCGTTACTAAGTAATGCGTTACTGCCCAACACTTCTCTTCAATTAAATTGAGCTAAATTGGATTCATTTAGCACAGAGCACATGGACCAGCTGCCCGTTAGCACACAAATATCACTCAATTTTGCCTCACATGATTGATTTGGGTTATGAAGGAGTTCTGAGGTTCCTGCAAACATTTTCATGGCATCTTCTCATAGGAAAAGTCGCTGTAATAAATAGTGATGATTATTTCTGCTGGTAGGAAAAGATGCCAATTAAGTGCAAGGTTCAAAAAGCACCAGCAAGTGTGACAATAAGAACATACAGTGCGAACAAGGAAGTAGCAGGATTCCTGCATCTTTGGTCTGGACTCTAATCATTGCAGTTCGAAATATCTCATACATTTTTGAATGCAGACGGATCCTGCGAGTGTTCCCTTGTTGGCTTGGCAGTTTGTGGCAGTCCAGAAAACAATCAACCCCGTTCTGGCCTTCTGTAGAGGAGACACCATCCACTTCCTGCTGGTCTGTTTGAGCAACACTGTTTTCAAAGTGATAAAAAGAATATAGACTTAAAGGTGAAGTGTGGCATTTCTGTTCTGTTTGAACATCCCTAGTGGCCAGACACACCAATAGCGTCAGTCTGGGGAGGGATAACTGAGACATTTATGATATTTATGAGTGGTTGAAAGTAGTTAGAAAACAAGTCTGTAAATCTGTTTAGTTCTGCTAGTGGAACAGAAATGACATACTTCACCTGTGAATAAGGTCATACAGTAATCAACCCACTCTGTTGTTTTGGTGCTCAGGTTAAAAAGGATGAGTCTGGCACCATCCATGTCATCAAACAGAGACAGCTTCAACTGAACTGTGACCTCATCAGTCTGAGTGTGAGTCAGACCCTCACTAACAGTCATATGAGTTTGATTACCTTTATGGCAGTGTGCATTGTTTCATGTTGTCTCTTGTCTCTTGGCAGTGGATAAACCTCCGTACGCTTGTGTTAATGGACAGCACAGAGAAGCTGCGAGTGGTGGACAGGCCCAGTCAGGAGGAACTGGAAACGGTGGACATGGCCGAGCTGCAGCTGGTTTATAACAGCAGCCATTTTAAATCCCTCGCTACCGGAGGAAATGTCAGCCAAGCACTGGTAAAGACCAGGATCTTGATATATGCCAACTTGATATGAGTTTTCACCATTTAGTCTGGTGCGTGTTGTACTTTATAGTGTGAAACAGTGAATGCCACCTTTTTCCCATGAGCTAGGTTTTGGAAGTATTTTTTCCCATTTATTTTCTTCATAAGGATTAAAAAATATGAAGAATAAAGTATTTGTGGCCTTCGATCAACCAGCTTGATGAGCAACCATAAATCACTGCAGCTAAGATATATCATGACATTACAATTTATTGAGTATTAAAATATTGAAAGTATTTAAAAATGAGAGAAATCATCTTAAAGAATCAACTCAAGTATGCACTATGTCATTAAATGTAAATAAATAAATACAATTAAAATAGTTTTCGTCAATTGAAATTAAGCTGAAGTAAAATAAAATGTGAATATTCGGTAAACTTTAACTTAAAAAAATTCTATGAAAATTAGACAATGTTGCCTGGACAACTAACTGAAATAAAGTAAGTTTAAGTACTATAATGAAGCAAAATGAAGCAAAATGAATGAAAGCTAAATATTAAAAGTAAAAACTAAAGGCAAAAGCATATAACAAAATCAAAATGACAATTGAAAATATAAAAATAAGTTAAATAAAAATATTAACAAATTCTATAATAGTATATAAATAATGCTAAAATAGCACTTATAAAAAATGATAGACACAATTTTTTAGGTAAATGATCATTCTGTAAAATCACAGTGACTTGTGACTTTTACAGAAGCATGTATACTCCCATTTAACAATCTCAGAATGCATGGTAGGTCTGTCTTGAAAAGGCAAAAATCTCTGACAAAAAAAAAATCTCCATAGTAAGAATTTCTGTATGAAGAATATGAATACATATTTGACTTCCATGTAGACAGGAGGAGTCATCTAAGGCCAGACAGTATACAATTTACATCTGATACACAATGTAGATGAGGCTGAGATCAGGTTGTAAAGAGCATAGATTAAAGATTCTGAAGTCATTGTTAAGACCATTTACCTAAGTGTTATATTCATAAACACATGAAGAACCCAATGGCCAGTTCATGAGATGTAGAGGAACTACAGAAGGAAGCTTCACATTGAGTGTCTGGCATATAAAAACAAATTTTCCCCTTGTATATAAAGGTGAAGACATTAAATCACTATTCCTCTGTACATCTTTAGGCTCTAGTTGGAGAGAAGACATGTTACCAGTCTGTTTGCAGCTATGCAGGCCAGATCATGTATCTGGGAACAAAGGTAAAGCCACTCATGATAACACTGAAGACAAGCACAAAACAGCACATAAGAATGGACTTTCTACTTTGCTAAAAGTTCAGTTCTATGCAAGCTTCCAGTATAGTATTCTCCATAGCACACTGTGGTAGTAACAAAGTCCTTCTGTCATATTTCTAACTGCTAATCACAGCTAATTATATTATAGTCCAGTGCCAAAAATACAATTTGATATCAAATTGTATTTCTGCAATATTTGGTTACATCATTTTAATTTCACCAACCAGGCATTGTAAAGTTTTTTTTTTTTTTTTTTTGTGTCCGCTTTTTGCAGAATGGAAACTGCTTAGAACAAAATGGAATACTGTTTAATAATGTTCTTTTTTAAAATTAGAGTACACTGTGCTGTGGGCAGCTACATCATTAAACAAATTCATGTACTTAGCTCTGAATTTGTATCTAATTTGACAAAATTGCAAAAATAAGGGTGCTACAGAATCTGGCACAGTTCCAGCAGTCAGCATGTGACATCATAAGAGCCTGCGGCAATGCAAGGACTAGAGCAACAGAAAGGGGTTGTAATTCTCAACGTTTACTCTGAGAATATGTTTTGATCTTCTTCGTTTTGTGAGAGGTCTCTTACACTAATCCAACCAGGCATTGTAAAGTTTTTTTTTTTTTTCATGTGTGCTTTTTGCAGAATGGAAACTGCTTAGAACAAAATGGAATACTGTTTAATAATGTTCTTTTTTAAAATTAGAGTACACTGTGCTGTGGGCAGCTACATCATTAAACAAATTCATGTACTTAGCTCTGAATTTGTATCTAATTTGACAAAATTGCAAAAATAAGGGTGCTACAGAATCTGGCACAGTTCCAGCAGTCAGCATGTGACATCATAAGAGCCTGCGGCAATGCAAGGACTAGAGCAACAGAAAGGGGTTGTAATTCTCAACGTTTACTCTGAGAATATGTTTTGATCTTCTTCGTTTTGTGAGAGGTCTCTTACACTAATCGATTGAAAATGGAAGAGGGGTGACTTCTGGTCATGTCAGTTACTTTGTTTAGTTTTGTTTACTTTTACTATATAGAGTACTGTACAAAAATATTATTAAAATTGCCATTAAAGATCTACGAGTTTAATGTCAACATCCAGTGACTATGTTTATAATATAGATGTTTTAGCAGCAGTATAGGACTTCATACCTTTATTATGAAACCGTGAGACGAATCCAATCCATCACACTTGGGTGAGTTGTCCATCACAAGTAACAATTTACCAGGGAAAAACATTTCTGTCCACAAACTCTAAGAAATGTTGATATGTTCTCTATTGTTTACATCAGATTTTGTCTGAAAGATTTACCCTCCATCATGTTTCTCCAAGAAATTATGCAATCTGTGTTCATGTTGTAGAACTGTACGTGATATTACTCTCTCACAAACAAAATGAGCTTGCCTCCAAGCAATTTAGTCTTGAGAGATATAGCCTATTTTGTCTGTAAACCGCCAGCCTTTAGCTTTGTGATACATTTTTGACAGACAAAACTTTTAGCCAATGAGAAGATGATTTTAACAATGTGTTGGATGTTTATCTTCCACATGTGAACAGGAATGC